CGAAGTTGATTGGTTCTTGTTGACCTTAAACCTGTCATTGTTTACTTCTTTGTTTTGGTTGTATCTCCCATTTGTTTGATTTTTGTTTCTATGCTTGTGAATAATTTTCCTGATTGGTTGATAAATTGTAATAGTTAAATTCATGAGTCGATGCAAGCTGGACCACTACTAAAAACCTGGAAGCACTAGAGTTGTGAACAATGGGGTTCAATTCGTGTCGAATAGAGACAGGTATTTTACCTCAGACAACGGATAAATGGTTGCGCAACCATTCATGAGTGGATTGAAGCTAGACAATAACACCATTGGATACTGGCTCAGTGGTCTAGAGGTTAAATGTTCGGGTGTAAGTCCGAAGACCTTGAGTTTGATTCCCGCATGCGGGATCATGGATGTGCACTGATGATTCCCATACTAAAATGAAATGTTTGTCCATTGTTTCTAGGTTTTCAATGGTGGTCTAGCTTAGATCAACTCATGAATTCAACTTTTCAAGATCTATTTCTATTTATTTTGACGAAAGTATTAATCGCAGTAGACTTTTAGTCATTAATCAACTAAGTATTGGTAGCAATAATAATAGTAGTATTACTAGTAGCAGTGATAACATTGACAACAAGATATGAATCATAAAAACAGTCAGTTAGAAGTAAGATGATTAGATGAACCGATTTTTGTTTTTTGTTTGAGACCTAAAATGTCGTCTTTTTATTTAGTACTTGTTTCATACTCTTTCCCACATTCTCTTGGCTAACAAGTCTCTCCCTATTTCCCTATTCTTTCTCCACTATTTGTTTAACAATTAATATAAACATAGAATTTGATATGTTAAACGAGAAAGAACCAAACCATAATGATGAAACGAGATTAGTCTAAATGAAAATAACTAAACTATATGAGAAGGAAGGATTATTCAGTGGGTTTTTTTTCAGGAACTTAAGTTGTAATTTTGAAAACAAACAAGCCAGACAAATGGAAAATAAGATAGATATTACAATGAAATCACACTTTTTTTATTGGCTATGTACTTGTGTGTGTATGTGAATAGACCTAAATGATGGTTATATTATACATGAATCGAATTGAACTATCGATTAACAATGAGTAAAGAGATAACTTTTGAGATAAGATGGTGGTTGGAGGTAGTCAACAAAAAACCCTGGACCCAGGTTTCGTGCTACTTGGATTCGATCCCATGTCACCCAGCTTGTAAATACATTTCAGTCCTACAGGTACTCAGTAGCGGCCTCGATAGCCCAGTAGTAATGTCGCTGACTGTGAAGCTGGGTAGATCCGTCAGGGAGCATCAGTTCCCTCAAGATTACAGGTACACTTTGCTGACGAGTACCAAGTAGCACGGAACCTGGGTCCAGAGTTTTCCTGTGACTATCTCCAACCACCATCATATCTCAATATAGTGCATGCAATGTTGAGTCACCTAGACTGATGGCCACATTTCAACTTGGTCGACAAGGATTCGATCTGCACTAAGAAAGACCTGACATACATGACATCGGTCACCACCCAATGAATTTTAACAAAAGACTAATTGTAGTTCAAAAGTTGGCAGAATTTTTAAAATGACAATAAAATGAATTTAATCAATCAGAAAACGTTAACATAAAATAAATAGTCTACATTTATAAAATGAAAGAATTTATATAATCTTTATGGAGTTGACTATAGTTTCTCCTGTTGTACTATCGAAAAATCCTTTGATAAAGATGTTTATCCATATGACATCGATTGAATCGTTCTTTGAGAGTACTTGAATTATTACAAACAATTTACTAGATCATGTTAAGTGCCTTTCATATTTTAATTGTATAATCTTATTATAACTATTACAGTTTTCGAGGAAATTAATAATTTTGTAAGCAATGATGGATAGTGGCTAGCAGTGGAATCCAGTTTGACACGCGTTTCATCCTATTTGGGACTTGTCAGCTGGATGCACCTGCATCTCAGAGTTGATGTTCACTCTGAGACTCGAACCCATTACCATTCGCTCCAAACGCCAACGCGTTATTTACCCAGCTACTGAGTCCTGGTAGCCACTTCTTGTGCAATGGGGTGAATTTCAATTCACTTGGTATTATTCGGCTTGTATCTTCCAATTGAGGTTTAACACTGCAATTGTTCAGTTTGTTATCGGCATATGTGCATACTGCGTGTATGCCTCGAAATTGCCTTAATTCACAAGCTGTTTGTAAGCAATGATGGATAGGGCGAAACTCGCGTCCTGGATTCCATTGCTAGCCACTATCCATCATCGTGAAATTAATAATTGCTACACAAAGCTATACACTATGAAATCCGATTGTTCAAAGATAAGCTGCAAAAGTCGTTCTTACATATTTATCAAGGCAGCTATGGAGATTATTTAGGATCCTATAGCTCAGGGCATTATAAGAATCATTATTCGTTCACGTCTTGACTATAGACGAGAAAAAAGACTTTTTTCCTAGGTACGTGTTTTTATAAATGGATATCCCAATGAAATTTCACTTCATTCCATAGTGTTTTGTATTTTCTTACAACGTGTTAACATTCAAAATCACACGTCAGTGAATTCCTCAATAATCTAACGTTAAATAATAAGTGTTTTTCGCTAAAATTAGTGATGTGGCTGATAAAGTGCCCAGCAACCTCGAAATGGCTGAGTCGCTCCTGATTGGTTTGCCACTATAATTAAACTTAACTATATATGTGTGTCGACAGATATAAGTAGCATGTAACACCAATGGGAAGTGGAAAACCTGGCAGTAGAATGTTGGGAACATCAAATAAAATAGCATGGGAACAGATAGTAATGGGTGTAGAAATGAAGGAACAATAAATTCTGAGACAATTAATGGAAAAATTTCAAATAACGGATTAAACGTATGGTTTCTATATTTTAGAAAATAACCCTATAATTTTATTAAAATACATTTGGCAGACCTCATCTATGTTTCCGTTCATTACATATTGACTGATTGCTTAATTGTGTAAGTATTAAAGTAGGCTAGGGGTTGGACTACATAACAACATTGTTGAAAGTCAAATGCTTAATTCGTTCAACTATCAACTATGCAGTATATCATTCAGCTATACATCAAGTAAGGACAATTGTACAAACCAGACGAATAAAAAACTCTGAGATCAATTACAGGATATTATGATCAATATTTGGTTTAATATATTCGATGGATGTAGCCGTGAGCGAAAATTCCCAGTTTATAATTGGGTTGTGTAATGGGAAATGCTAAATATTAAAATGGCATTCAGTTAACCAACTTATAAAGAATGCATTGATTAAATTCATTCATTCAAAATTTGTTGGTAATAAAATTGGACACAACAATGAGAATCAGACAATCAGATAGTATTTAATATTCAGGCATTGTTATCTTAATGACTTATTTGAACTATGTTGACTATAATGATTGTTCCTTTAGGCATTGCCATATCGTAAGACTAAAATCAGTAAATTAAGGTGCGAGAGTGAAATGGTACTGCTGACTGTAGTGGGTTGTGACTAAAGTATACAACCTTCATTTACACCGATGATACTTTTCCACAACTGATTAAGGTTAGAAAACACGATTTCCAAATATAGTACACTTTACCTTGCATGAGAGATTTCTTTCTTTATAGGTAAGACCTTTAAGGAACGAAGATAACACATCAGTTGCTCACGAAAATATTGCGTATGACCTACCCTGGGGAGTTGCTTCTTGCATTCAGTAATCACGCTTACAGTTCGTTAGAAATACTACTAGCCGTTTTTTTTTTCAGGGACCTCTAGTTGATAGTTTCGCGTTGGGCAACTGAAAACCACCCACAGGTCGCTAACAAAACGTGTGTAAACTTGAATCGATGCACCTGTGTGCTAGGTTGTACATTGCTAATGACCGACCACTCTACTATTTTACTAAATCCGATTTCAGAGAAAATGTGGCCACAGAAAGAATATATCTTAGTTTTCGACACTACGAACGGTTAGATGAAGCAGAGAGGTGATGATTTTGTAACTTAACAGTGCAGAATGAAAGATAGATTTGTTGAATTAGTGCACTTCAACTAATTACAGTTACTATTCACGAATTTAAATAATATGCAATTGAAGCACTATACACAAACTTCTCTGACACACTTAGTTCCATTTAACAGACATAAGTTAATAAAGCAGGAGGATATAAACAGAGTCAGGGTTCAAACTTACAATTTGATGATTAACTGCCAAGAGTTTATACAGTTGAATTGAGATGAGATTCACTCACATCTTTTTTAATTCAATATAATCTACGCATTATATTTTCAGGATTTTTTGTCTAGACGAGAACGTGCATCACTAGTGTACCCTTGCATACATAAACACAACTGAATTAATTCATTGAGATCATTGGAAATGAATCAGTATGTGATTTTATAAAACCTGTTTAATTTACCACTGTGTTGTCACTACTTATCGTCCATATGTAAAACAACCAATAATATTCACTGACACACTCACCACATTGACTTTTGTACGGTCAGTCTTTGTTTATTTACCAGTCACGAAACTCAACCCTATTTCAGAAGCATGAATGTTGTATACTGATTTAATTTTGTTTTATACCTCGTTATTATCAGATATGTACGTGTTTTATTGTCGAATATTCCTACTTATCTATATTACTGGATATTCATGTATTAATTACACTAATTAATAATATGGAAACAGATTTTATTTTTAACGATTAGCGACTCTTTCGTTCGACAGTTTGTGGGACATTCTTGAAGATATATATCATTTCCATGATCGAGGCGGCCTTCTTGAATATCTGGGCTACCTGTTCCTGCTACCTGGATATTTCAACAAGTTATCTTTTCGCTTGTTTGTTTTAACACATAATTATGCTTATCAATCTCACAACCTATTCAGGTGCGTTTGTCTAAAGTTTACTCACATTTCACTGCACAAGTTACAAAAGAGTCCAATCAGAGACAACGTGGTTGCTGGAAATATACATCGTAAAGAATATACAATATTCAGATATCGAGTCCTGAACTGCTAACATTTAACTGGCAACTACTCAATATTTATCGCAAGGATCGATCAAGAAATAAGAAAAATAAACATGTTGAAATAATTTGTGCTGAGAATTCTACAATGTACCATAAGTAGTCTGTTGACCCCAGTTGTTTGGTAAAAGTTCAATGACACCCAGTAAAATACATACAATTGACAAAAATAATTTGTCTTAAACAATAGATGATAATTGTACATAGAAAAGGGAAAAAGAATGGATTTTGTTTAATCAATCTGTATTATACACTGATATATGAACTCAAGCATGAAAGGATTCGTTTTTCATAATAATAATAATCACTGTTATATCGCACTCAACGGTTTGATTCCCATTAAACGTAAACATGAGGCAAGTACATTTCTAGACGCTAGAAAGATGAATAGACGTATCTGAAAAAGTAGATAAGAATTATATATATAATGAGTGCTGGTGGGCGGCCTATGCTCCTCCATGAGGAGTAACAGGCGTAAGTAAGTACACATATAATGAGAAGAATCACAGGTAATTATAATTTAACAAAGCAAACTCCAAATTAGAACAATCTATTACACTTATTTAAAGCAGACAAATAAATCATTGAAGTTAAGGTTGTTCTCACAATGATTTAAATACTTAATGTGTTATCTCTTTCTGTTCTTTTAGTCGATCAAGTGATACATAAGAAAGAGTAATTTTAACTGAAGATTTCACTTCAACCATTAACTTGTGTTTTTCATCTAGTATGTTGAGTTGCACAACACTGACATGTCCATCGTTCCAAATGCTTGGAACATTTAGTGAAAATATTCAGCATACACATTCACTAAATCTATGAAAAAAATGATCAACAGCGCCTAGATACAATACAATTATTGAACATTGAAAACGATATTAAACAACCTCATCCTATATTTTATACATAATCAACCAGTTATTAATTGGTTAGTTTGTATTGCTATATCAAATGATAGGCGGTTACAGATATAAAGTTTTCAAATATAAGTACCATTTTTATCTTAGAATCATATTAAATCCTTCATATATTGCAAAATTATTCACAACATCTAATTTCAATACTTATACGACTAAACTCATAGTGTCATGGAGGCTTAGTAGTAGGTCAGTTACTAATCACGAATTACGTTTCAAATATCATTACCTTTTCCCACATATATTATATTATGGTTGGCAAAAAATATTCGTACTGTTCAGAATACTCTAAATAATCACCCTAGTGTGACGAATTACTGTTACGACAATGAAAAAGAATCTCAGCATGTAACTTAAGTACACGGTTAATATATTTGTGGCTTTCTGAGATACATGAGAGATAATGATACTTACTGGTTGTTAAAACTGAAGCAAATGAAGAGAAGTGTTGGAACTTATGACCTACTAACGTCAGTAGATGATTAAAACATTTTGTATTTCAGTAGTTACCCTAACGGTTGATCAGGAATTTAAGTATTTTTAATAATAAACTATTTTCTGAAGTGATCTAAATACATTTATACATTCGTAAATGAGTATATGCAACTAGTTACAGCATCGCTTTGATTAATATGTCAATCATGCCTCCAAATGTCCTGGTACGGTAGAAAGTGGGGAGAGTCAGTTCTCCATCGCTAAATTCTCTCCCATGACCACGTGCATACACCCACTGTCCTACTCACTGCCTTATCGCGGCATTAATGTTTGCGAAATGGAGAGGACGATAAACAAATGTCCGGCGCTTTAATCGGGTCGGTGGATATGGAGGATCCACCAAGGGAATTTGGAACACCCTAATTTCAAACCAATGGTTACATGGGTTCCAGGATCCTTAAGGAATAATTTCATGAGAAAATTGTCACGAGCTTTGTTACGTCACTAATGTTTTTTTATGCCAAGTTAATTGGTTCCTTAGTCCTAAAACATTTCCATTAGGGGGAGTAAAGAACATAGCGAAAGAAGACTTAAACAGATATCGATCCCACTTACTAGTTGATCTCCTTTATTTGTGCATTGCAAAACTGGTAAATGCTTCCAAGCTGAGTTTACATCAGAGCTGTAGAAAAATAGTATGGAATATGAACAAAAACAGTAAACACACTTTAGTTGAAAGTTTGTGAAGATTAGTTAAAATTACAAGTTGTATTCGTCACAGACTAGCCTTTATTATAGTATTGTTGAAAATCAGAGAGAAATAGACAAGTGTTTTATATTAGTATAGGTTAGACAACTGACGGGGCTATAGATGTACGCCGTTAAAAAGTCTCATACTAAGACTAAAAAGCCATCCAGTTTCCATGATTTTCAATGATAACTCAACTGAGACCCATTCACGAAGTATGTGACTCATAAATAAAAGGAATTATTGTTGATAAAAAAGCTGATCATTGATAAATTTTTCATGCACACTGAATGAAGCCAACAACTCTATGGGTTAGACAAATCTATAGTACCTCGATAGTGTACACAAAGCAAAATCAAACGGTCTTTTGCTTGAAAGCTTTTACCGTATTTTACATAACAGAATATTAAGCCAGTCAGTTGGTCATAAATAACGCAGAACCTGACACATATGTTGACGGCCTCGAGCTGTCGATCAACATCAACACCGCGAACTGGGTAACGCGTTGGCGTTCAAAACGAAATGCATTGGTTTTAAGTCCTGGGTAAGCATCAACATTAGTATGCAGGTGTGTCCAAATGACCAGTCCCAGATAGGTAGAAACACACGTCCTGAGGTCTACTGCTAACCCCATTCCACCCATTCTATCTATTTTAAAATATACTTTAAAAAATAGATATATTTTGATTTATGAGATATAGAAGACTTACGTAAGTTGTAATGCATATTGTAGTACGTAATGTGGCTCGTATTTTGAATAAGCAGTATGAAGCACAGTAGAAAATCTATCAATAAAGGACAGGTGATAATACAAATCAAAATGAATAGTATCTAGTCAAACAATTAACCTAGCAAATCATAAAGAACTGATGGGTCTTTGAATATGCCGTAAAATTTTCACAGTCCATTAGTTTGCTTAAGTAGGTTAGAGGATTTTAATTATAAGTGTTTTCGGATCATTGGGCATGAATCACGGGATGATAAACTGAGAAATCTTAAGGTTAGGTGTAGGGTAGTAGACGGAAATGGCAAATAGGCTGATAATATTGCGAATCTCCATTGACCGAGGTGTTCGGAACATGTGTTACATATGCCTGACAATCGCTTACTTTGACCGAAACGTTAGCTGGTGCAAAGGTAAGTTGTAAGAAATCGAAGTGAGCAGCACAATGGACAGGATAATTGTATATGCACAAACAACTGTTACGTTTTATCGTAGATTTGTTGATATCATGTTCGTTTGAGAAGAGGTATATAGTTGAGAAGGGATGATGAATAACAGATAAGTCCTATGAGCGTTTGTAAGGATTCTACGTACAAAGGTTATAGCGATCAATTATTCATCATTGTAATAACAATTTAACAGCTTCATAGTATTGTTACAATGAAATCAAGGTATCAGAGACCCTAACTACACAGCTATAGATTTTCGAAAGTGAAAATGAGGAATACCACTAGTCACATACACATGTATCATATTCGGTCTTGTGGTATACTACTTTAAAATATAGTTAATGATCATATTGTTTACATTGTCAGATTTTACTATCAACTAGATAACATTTAAAAGCAACCTGACCTGCACAACTGATCAGCCAATTTTACAAAAGATTTTTCATTAATCGTTGTTGAAGGCCATTCTTTAAATTGATCGAATTCATGAACAAGGTGATCCATATCAAACACAATTGATGTTGGATCACTGCTATTAACCTTGAATGGGAACAGACCGGATGAAATTGAACGAGATTCTAGGCTTCAAATAAAAGGCAAGAAAGTCGAAGTAATAATAATCAAGCGAATATCATTTTTCATTAAATTATTGGAAATGAATGTGTCTTTAGAATAATCTACGTTCAGTCGACTAATTTGGTCCAATATAATTTATTTATTCATTTAAACACAAACATTGGTACAAGAAAGCACCAAATATATACGCAGCCTTTGAACTAGAAGTCGAATCCACGAGGCAGTGGAGCAATGTTGGAAGATGCAGTATCATGGTAACCGGTGACGAACTATAGGTTCATATGTCTTTAGTGGCCCTATATCTGACCTCATTTATATCGTATGGACAGTTGTTGACAAACTATACATCCTGGCTATTCTCGAATATAATCATCGACTTAGACCGCGTTAGAGAATAACGGAATTAAATAAGTCAAGTATGAGGATGGATTTCGAAAACATACATTTTGTACAATCATTGGTCCAGGTAGACGATCAAAGGAACGAAGCAAAACGAAATGATGCGCGGTGGAGAAGGCATGTGAGCCAACTCCATTTAATCAAGCGTTAATCAATATTTATAGCCAGATAAAAATAAATTACAGACATGTGATGAATAAAATAAAAAGTGCGCTCATATAAAAACAGTCAATGTTGATCAGTGAATAATTAACAAAATCAAAACGTGACTCAGGAAGAAAGGATGAACTGGCCTATCCAGAAGCTAGAATAAGTTATATGGGCTTAACATAGTAACGGACACTACATGTTTTTTGTTACATCAGGACCCTGGAGTTCATATGCACCATTAGTACGGAATCAGGGTTTTCCAACTCCACTAGATGGATCTTGCATATCCACTAAACCCGGTCAAAGCGCCGAACATTCGCTTTACGTCCTCTCAATTTTATAAATAACAACTCCGCGAGAAGGCACTGAATAGTACTTCCTTGGCAGTGGCTGCATACGCGTGGACACGTGAGAGCATCTCGAGGAGCTGACACACGCCATTCTCTGTCGTACCAGAGCATTTAGAGGTCTTTATCATTAGATAAAAACTTACTTTTCTATAAGAGTTGCTATTGTATGTAAAAGTAAAGGTAATACTGATTGACTGAAATATTCCAAGGAATCCTGAGAGATCAAGTCAGCTACTAATAAAGTATGGTGTTGATGGGACCATTAAGATAAGTGATAAACAAACACAACAACTCCACTTTCTATGGTCGGATTAAGAAGTGATTAAATAGTCCGCAATATGAAATTGTATAAGTAGACAAACATAAGGAGTTTACATCAATGAAGTTTTATGTCAATCAGCTAGTTATAAATAGTGTAGAACCTGAGCAAATATGTACATCAGTTGCTAAACCACATCAACACAGAAAGATGAAAATATCAAGAAAAATGCGAGAGTATTAGAGAATTAACAATGTCATTAGAAAAGATATTAGGCATAGAAAATATGATTCGTGAAGAGAGAATGAATTTGTGGAGTCAAAAATATAATTTTGAAACTCAAGATATGAGAGAAGACAAAGAACGGATGTATGTTTGTGCGATTCAGACTGATTCTGAGTCACATAATCCAACATCTGTAATAATTTGTTATGATAGTTCTGCGGACACCAACCAGGAAAACTAAACTCAGGTCAGTTGTCAACTTCTTTATGGATTTAGTCAATTATAATCAACGTAGATCTTAACACACATGTGATCTATTTTCCCATGACAAGAGTAGTGTACAAATGTGCTCAGTCTTTGATTGGAACTATTATGCGGATTCCAACTACTTCATACACCGATGTCACGTCTGAGTTTAGCCATGCTCTTTTATTTACTAGTTTTCTATTCGGAGGTAATTATTCTATTAATCTTTTCACTTAAAATATATCGTATATTTTGCATTATATTAGTCAATTACACCAAATTTATTTTCGAATACATACCTGCATAGTCTTGCATGACAATATTGTAGAGTTAATCCGCATAATTCACTTACAGCTGACGATTTCAACAAATGACTATTTTTCATTGTTGGTGATGATGATGTCACTGGTAAACCAAGGAATGTCTGTAAATTAATTGGTTTTTGACGTGGATAAGCAAACATTGTTGTTACCAAACATGTTACACCTAAATGATCAGCTATTTCATTTTGAGATAACAATGGTGGATTAACTGATTCATTTTGGGTTATTCGTGTATCTAACGAAGGGAAAGAAAAAAACCCAAACAAAACAATAGAAAACTAATAAACAGAGATGGATGATGACTAGCAGTGGAAACCAGGACATCTAGAGAGAATATTATAAAATAAAATCAGATGAGGATGTTGACTATCGATCGTATAATGATTAATTTTTAATGGGGACAAGTATTATTAGGCACTTACAACACGATGGATTGGTGAGGACAACACTCATCAATGTGAATGCAAAAATGAAATAACTGTGTATAAGTGTAAAAGATTTATGAGATGGAATGATATTGCAGTTTTTATTAAAGTTAGAACTAAGGTTGGGATTTGTAATAACTGTGTAAATGAATTCATCAGCACATTTGTGAGTGGGTGGTCGGATGCGTCGTTACTGTTATATTTGGAGAGTCTTTTGTGTTATGTAAGTATCCATTTTGTTGAGCACGCAGTCTCACTGCTTTAAGTGATAATCGGGAGACACTGCAATTCCTCGACCTTACTGTTTATACCGAGGAAACAAGATCCACTACAATTCTCATAACGTGAAGTTAAAACACAGAAGACTGGTGCCATGAAGATTTCTTGACTCTCCAAACAAGTCCCTAAAATTACGTAACCATTACGTGACCGAAACAAGAATATTTCTATACTAATTTTTACACACACGTTTAAATCACACACATATAGGTGGAAATGCATAGGCTTACGATAAAACCACACTGAATATAGTTCACCTGAATTGATACACAGAATATAATTGTTACACTGAACGAGTTCACATTTCTTACATTGAGTAAAGGTAGTACTAAATTGATGATACAGGAAAATGTTGGTTTGACGTTAGGTTGGAATTAGAATTAGAGTTTGGTGTTGAAGAGTTAGGATCAAGATATAAGATTAAAGTTCGGGGTATGGGTTTAGGATTAGAATTGCGGTTTCAGTTTAAGATTAGTGTTTGATGTTAGCGTTAGAGTTAGGATGTGTTTTAACTAATCTCGAATCCTAACCTTAAACTATAACAGTTACAAACCTACAATCAACTTGAAGATGTTCAACAATCATTCAAATTATTCAAAGCAAATTCCTGAATTTCATAAGATAGTTCATTTATTGAATCATATTTGCTGCTTTCTAATTAGCTGAAATTTACCATAAATCACTGTACAAGTTGTACAAATTCGGTATTCTAATTAAACATTCCTGCAATGAACAAATAACATTATAACCTTTTAATATGATTGAGATGAATTATAAGGGCCCTAAATATTTAGATTTTAATTTCATTGGAGAATGAGTGAAGTATAAAAAGGGGATTTTCGTCAGTAACTTATAATATCAAATCAACTTTACATAAGTACTTTGTATAGAAGTATGTCAGTTAATCTAAGAGTTAATCTAAGACAATTATCATCCAGCCAAATTAGCAATTATCACACGGTCAAATCTTGTTGATTCATTCATCTACCGATTAACATTCTATTCACATTTGTCTTATTAACTCTAAACTGGTTCATCATTAAGCATTCATCCGAACCCATAACATCATTTCATTAGAGCCAAAATGAATTAAACAATCAATGAAAACAAGGAAACAATGAATAATTGTGTTATGTTTAAATTAGGAGAACGTTTTAATATTATACTATTGATGAGAAGTTTCCGACGAGAATGGAAGTGTAATTGCTGCATACTACTTAAAATTGAATGTTTTCACTGTTAAGATACTGTTTAACAATTAGGAGGGGAGGGGGAAGAAACTTATTCCATGAGTTATCTTTGGTTTATACAACAGTTTGCAATGAAACCTAATCACTTAAATCCATAATTGAAAGATAATCTGTCACATATACTAGCGAATAACTTACTCTGTTTAATAATACTTTAATAATGGTACGTATGTCTAACCATTACCAGTGATAGTGTGGAAGTTAGTAGAAAGCTGAGTAACAAATCAAATCAGTCCAAGAATTCATAAGGTATGTACGTAGGTGTAAACCATCAACTTAAGGGGTACATGAAAATTGGTGATTGGAAACATCGAGTTAAATGGCTTAGAACCATTCAGTTGATAGATGGACACACTTGTTATGTTGCTCTAGTTCTTGAGTCACGATATCCTTTTATGCGTATCTTTTCACGCTTTCTTTTCAAGCCATATTTTCAATTTAAAATAGAGATGAATGGTGGCTAACAGTGGGATTCAGAACGCGCGTTTGGTCCTATTTGGGAATAAATTTACATGCAACTCAGAGTTAATGTTCACTCTAGAACTCGAACCCAGTACCTTTCGCTTCAAATACCATCGCATAATCCACTAAGCTACTGATTTATGCGATTGGGTGAATTTCGATTCATATTTATTAGTTGTTTGAATCTTCTTATTGATATTTTAAGACTGCAATTGATTAGTCTCTTTTGGTATATGTGCATTCTGTGTGGGTAGCCTCGATAGTGCAAGTAAGTTAAAGCATTTGAAGGAGAAATGGGTCTTTAATATGTTGTTTCAATTAATTTGACATTCATCTAGTAAATTATACTCTCGTGTCAATATGATTGTAACCAACTTAGTGATAAGTGGGTAAGACGATTACATTGCTACAACAGTATTTATTTTTTCCTATTTACAAAGACTAAAAATAAAAGTATAGTTTGAATGTATAAACACAGATGATTGTTTGCTTACTTTGAGAAGATTTCATTCGATTCAGCATGAATTGTTGAGCATTATTTAAAATATCCAATAGAAATAAACCTTCACCTTTTCTAGTACTCATTCCCATAATTCGACCGAATGGAATATGTAAAAGATTACGAGCACTTTGAATACACTGATCATTATCAATATTATTATCAACATCATCATCGACCATAGATCTAAGAGCGAAACAAAAACAAGCAACTTTACTTTGACTAAGTAGAAATGTTACTTTTCTGTGACTTATTTAATTATACTGCTTGAAAGTGAACAATTATAGACGTTCTCTGTAAGCTTACATTTCATTCTAATTGATGATTGAAAAAGAAGATACCAAAAAGTGGTTGTATGTAGTAAGTTACAAAACATATAATCTAATCTACAATCACTATTGTTATGTTTGTCTAATCATTAAGTGATGGTCCAATTCTATAAATTAAGTTGCAAAGTGACCAACTAATCTAAGTGACTTGATATTACATGTACTACGTTGAAATATTAAGTGGTGTTTGAAGGTAGTTGGTAGGGAACTCTAATGTATTTAGGCTTCATGTCAATCAGAACTGGTGATGAAGCCATAGACCCAATTGTGATAAAACACTGATGCACCTGATGTGATTCGAATCCATATCGTTTAGTTTCATATACAAATTTAGCATTGGGCTGAATCACAACTGACCTTCTTTAGAACTGAGACACATTTAATTTAAAGGGTTTTATACAATTCACCTCCAAATACCTAGAAACACTATTATTCCTCAGTGAATGCAACTCTGGAATTATCAATCAAATTCGTGAGGTTAGCGGAAATCTTATCCTATGTTGCTACTTAGCTGCATTTGAATTAACCGATAGTTTGTTACAGAACAGAAGTTTAAGGTATGGAATATTAGATCTTTATGGCAAATTAATTTAAGTTTTAAGGAAAAATGAACATATTGTCATCATTGGCTTTCTGAATGAGTGGGATAAAGTTGAGGTTTGGATACAATAGCATTAAATATATAACACATGGATGGATAAGAAATACTAAAACTGACTTTATAAAATCGAAACTCTCACACAGATAACATTTATATATTTTTAAACGATGCACATATAATGACTACCAACCCAGAACCTTTTATTTATCTGAGCACGTAATATCAGAAGATAACATCTAACCTAAAGCTGCAAATACAGATTATTTTTTGAAAACATTACTCTATACAAATTTTTAAACGATCTATATATCCATAGGATTCAACCTTTATTAGTGCACGGCAACTGATTTATTTTCGGACTTATCAGCTGCAGTACGTATAGTGATACTAAATACCCAAAGCTTCCCATGAGAATATTATACAAACACTAATGCTTTTGTCCTTTCGTATCTTATACTGGTTAAATCTTCAGGATATACTTCCATCAACTTCTAATTATTGTCCTTATTGGTAACTAGTCGAATCAAAAGACGGGTCCTGTGGTAACTGAAGAGAGTTGATGAACACTAAACATTTCAACTGATTATCCATCAAGGAACGTAAATTGAGATATTCACACTTAAAGTTGACATAAAATGCTGGCGTACCGTAGTCACCAACTCCACTTTTTATTATATCAAGACATTTATGTAGAATACTAAACAGTGAAGCTGAGTCCCCGAACATCTCTGATGTGTCCCCTTGAATCTAAATTCTCGAAGTACCTTCCGTAGAATCAAGTCAACGTAGCGTGCATGTTTGCTGTTTGCAAGCTCACATCAACAAGCGAGTCTTCCAAATATCCACCTGCCTACGGATTGGTCAGGAATTGGTTGAAAATTTCCCAAAATTATTTTAAGCGCTCTTTTATACTAACACATTACCAGAAAATTTACTACACCACCGAGCAATGGGATAAAATGTTTGATTTATAATTCAACCACTAATTCACATTAACAAGGTTTATCTAGAAATGAACTTCAGATTAATCAGTCACCATCATTATTAACACCTTACTTATTCGTTGAATAAACCACATTTATTAAAATGAAACATCTATTAACTCGGAATCATCCAAGCACATTTTATTTCTGGTAATCAATAAATCGGAAAAACATGATATTGGTCACTACTTAGTTGCAGAGAAATTGCAACTATCTGATTCCTACAGGAGGTCGTTCGGCGCCGGAATCGTTTATTCGTAACGTCTCAGATTATAAGATTAAGCGACGTAGTTCACAATGATATAGGGAGCATCAATGCTCTTAAGACTGTAGATACATTACTGACAAGCAACAAGTGGTACGGAACCTATGACTACTTTTAACCACCTAAGAGCTGGATATTTGGACTGAATGATCACCCAGAATTAGTCAATTTTTCCGTCATATAATTCTCAGTATGTTGATCAATTTCAATAGAATAAGAAGTGAAACACATCTAAATATCTGAAGTCAATCGCAGCTTCTACATTGAAGAAAATTTATTTGAAGACAAAAACATTGATACTCACAAAACTGGCCAATTATAACCCATTTTTAGGAGAACATAGTTGAGTTGTTGAAAGTGTAAGCGCTGTCCAATTTCAACCTTTAAATAAAGCAATAAACGGGATTATGCTGGCTAATAGATAATATAACAAGAATAATTTGGATGACAGTGAAATATCTGCCAACCAAAACGTCGCATCACAATATTGCCTGTTGATGTAGGCAGTGACTAATGATACGTAAATGAAGTGGTTGATGGATTCAACTATTCTAGCCAGACCAGTACTGAAACAAACATTAAATTTAGAAGGAGAGAATTTCACACTTGAATTGCTACTCAAAGTATTCAGAAGACTAATAACTATGTCAACGTCTTCACTAAATAAGACCATACCATCTGAGTATTTCCAGTAGATAAGTAAAATTCATGACGGAAGATTGTTTCCTACGAAGTTAGATGAAGTGTGATTTCTAGACCATTTATAATGGAATTAACTAAGAAGGAGGATATAGGGTAACCCTAATGAACAACATTATGAGACTGATAGTTCTGCAATAGTTCACCATAAACCTCAACTTGAAAAATAGTACTGGAATGGATAACCTTTACAAGGTTTAAGAACTTCATTAGTACGCCCTTTTAATGAGAAATGCTGCTACGAGAATTCTCAGTAAAAGGAGTTAACTGGAGTTATAAAGTCGAGAAACACAACTATAGTCAAAAATCGGAAAATTATATGCAAAATATAAGAGAAGATGAACACACAATTAACAGAGAGTATGAGTTATTCACATGTATCATAATACTGAAATAATCTTGAAATTTAAGTTATTAACCAAATTCAGACTTACGCACTTAAACTTCAGCAACACAGTACTTGGGCATGGGATAGTAATACCATCCGACTACATGAACCAAATTAGGTGAAGTGGTGGTTGAACTTATGGATTATTACGTGAGTGTCTTTTAGCCACATCAAGTAGTCATGTCAAAAAGCCACCGAACACTACCAAAAATTTAGGTGCTCCGGTCAACCAGTTGTACAGGTTTTGTGAGGATTCGTCAAATTTGTAGGTTCTATTCGTCACGGATTAATCTCAGTTGAGGTATCATTCAAAACTATAAAGTGCTAAACAGCTGTTTCGTCCTATTATGTAACTCCTCATGAATGTGTATTTATGACATCACTAAAGGGTATCGCAAGTGATATTAATTTGTGATGAATAAAACATACTTTAACCGATTGTCTATTGATTATAAAAATAAAATATAAAAAATAATCATTTGTTGGATACATGAAACCAGAGTGAGAGAGAGCTGTCTGATGACGAAATGTTTATTTTCAGCAACTTTCGAACCTCCAAGTTATGCTTATGATTGTAAATATAATGGCCGAGGAAAAATGAATTTTACCACTGAACTAATCTTTTGATGCATAGCGGCAAAACCATTAGCACATGAATATGTTTATATATATACATATAACAAATATATTACGTACCACATAATGTATCCTATCGAAATGATATTTTTCGTAACGAGAAATCGCCGCCGCTATATCCCTGTGAGTTAAAAAGAAAACTATGCATTATAAAAAAAACAAGCTACATACACATAAAAGAGATCCTAGTAACGATATGATACAGTATAGATAATCAAGCCTAATTCTAACAAAGTGTAGTTGTTTAAGTTATTTACCTGGTTAAATATAAAGTTGACTTATCACTTTTCAACAGGATAATATTTTGATTCGAAAAATTCACATCATTATTGTTTGCTGTCGACATACAAGTCAGACCATCACTGAAAACCAAAATACAATAACACAAAAATGAAATAGATAACCAGTACAACAATGAATTATATAATGAAAGTACATTCTATTATTTACCTTACCGTACTTGATCAAATAACTTATTACCAATATAATACATAGTGCATCTTATATGTTGTTGGATTACCACAAATCAGTAATTAAATGGTGAAAACAGTGAAGTTATAAAAAAGATAAGTTTAGAATAAATGAATAGTGTTGACGGTCTATGATCGAAACGATGGGTAATACAGATTAGAATACCAAAGGGTAATATGACGTTTGCCCCTGTCAATTATCACGTAACAAAACCACTAGTCAAAAAACCGACTTCTGTGACCTAGGCCTTGTGGTAAACCTGTGATAAATTAACCAGCACGAGCAGACATACAAGCGAGCAGTCAACCGACCATTGTAAATTCTCAAAGTCCGATGACCAGATATCATACGTAAAAAATTCAGGTATCTACGTGTGTCTATCTCAAATCAAAACGTCTGAGAAAAGTCAAGTCCCAGATGGGACTTGCTAGTTAAATGTAAATGAATCCATGTTAATTTTCACACTGATGCTCGATTTCACTGTGTATTCCATCAAATACTGACGCTTTATCTATTGAGATACTGGGTCGGGATAGCCACTAGCTTATGAAACAGCTATACGTTTTGTTTGTAAAGGTTTGCGTTTTCCAATTTTCGGTAACAGTGAGGTTATTTGCTCTGGATATACATATCGTAATAGAGATTTATCAGATACAATCATTAATATCATCAACGAGAAAATATAAACCTTTACAAATACTATACAGGAAGATTTTTGGTAAAATTATATTATACTGTCAGCGCTAAATGAACTAATCAGCATCAAGGTAGAACCATATATATTTTTTCGGACAATTAAAGGTACAGTGATAGTTAGCTTGTATATTGTAATTAACTGAATAAAAATTTATATCGGAAGGGTTTTTGTTGATATTATAGTAATTTCAATGGTTGAGATCGTGAGTCAATTGAAGCTAGACCACCGTGGAAAACATGGAAGCACTGGACGGCTGTTTCGTCCTATTATGGGACTCCTCAGCAGTGCGTATCCACGATCCCGCCTCGCGAGACTCGAACCCAGGGCCTAACAGTCTCACGCGCGCTGAAGAGTCCCACAATAGGATGAAACGGCCGTCCAGTACTTCTAGGTTTTCCATGATGGTTTAGCTTCAAATGACTCATGAGCTCAACCATTGAATTTAAATAAAAACTGGGAATGTTTGATTAATAAAATACTTGAAAATGATAAAAAAAATAGCTACTGTACAACCAGACAATGAATGTGATATAGTGCTCAAGTCTAATTACAAGAAACACCTGTTCCTGACGTAGATTGTGCAGTAAATTACTTTTTGTGATTCAGTACATAGTTAAGAGTGCTTATGTCTCTAGATAATATTCCCGTACTTCAACTCCCAACTCTGAACTTCAAACCAATGGCTTTTAAGCTTGTAAAACAAAGTGTGTCGATGACACATTGAATAAGATCTGATGACAGTTGTTGACAAGTATCCTAAGCTTAATTCGTAATCCCAGTACATAATAACACTGGTTTAATTCATATTATCTAACTCTAACATTTTTCGAATTATATTTGATGTCACTTGGTAAAAAAGACCCTATAGGGTCATAAATTTAACTCACGGACTACTGATCATGTCAAGTTCACTACTCAACTGCAGATTTATTTCATTTTATTGTTCATTATTTTATAACTAGACATTGCTTTTTGACTGGGTGATAAGAAGAATAAGGTCGTTAGTATGAAATAATTTTGCTTACTTTTCTTTAGACATTATCCCTCAACCAAAACAATGAATAAATTATAAATCATTTGGTGATATATTAAAGTCAAAGCAACTTACGAACTTTTGTAAGCTAACCCATTGGCTAGTAACATGTTAGCAAGTGAATAAGCCTTCTCCACATAATCGGATTCATATTCGTAACTTGTAAATCGAATATTCATACGCTATTAGGATAGTTAGGAAAAACAAAGTTTAAAATGATCAATTCATTGGTATAAGTGGAGAATATTGAGACAAGAACAAACGAATTTAGAAAAGAATAAATGTTAACCTCGTTTGCATCATCCATCTTTTCCCATTCAACACATTTTTGTGTATTCATATATACTACTTTTATTATTCAGTAACCCGTTTCATTTCTAATAATTTCTGAATGTATGATGTAGCGTACGTTTATTTCTTGTGTAAACTAATAATATTCATTTTCTTTGTCAGAGTAATTATATTCCCTCAACCCTTGTTACAGTTATTTCCAGTTTTGTGCATCCTTCGAATTTTTCAGAGTTGTTAGAGATCTTGTTAAATTAGTGACTATCGATCAACAACTGATTGAGATAATTAACGGATGCTAGGGCGAACAGATTTTGGGATGATGAAAACTACTAATGGTTATAAAGACACCTTAGTGGATGACACCAAGATCGATACCATTGATACAAAGACTCATGAAATTTGTTTATCCTGTTTTGTAGTTGAATACCATCTTGTCTTTAGTTCATATGGATTACTTCTATGTAAGATATTGTTGTAACCATAAAAATAATAAACAATTTGTCGATACTAGGTATGTAATACGTCAGTAGATGATACACCAATAGACGAGAGATCATAATATACAACGATACAGAATTCAAGAACAACACAATTGAGAACCAGGTCAAAAGTTAGATAAGTTTCATTAACACAAATATAAGTAGCTCATACACAATGAAACCTAGAGTACATGACAATCGTAAAAATTAATATTCAACCTGAAACTGTCCCATAAATTTAACACACCTGTGTGTCTATTTGTTTACACCCACTAGCCAATCACATATAATTTTACTGACTGCACATTAAAATTTGTAGCAGCAACCTCAGCAGCAGCAGGAGGTCTCAATATACACAAAGAGAAAAGCAAGATTCTCCGATACAACACAGCATGCATCAATCCAGTTACAATTAACGGAGAAGATTTGGGAGATGTAAAAATCTTTACATATCTGGACAGCATCATTGATGAACACGGTGGATCTGATGCAGATGTGAAGGCGCGGATCGGCAAAGCAAGGGTAGCATATTTACAACTAAAGAACATCTGGAACTCAAAACAACAGTCAACCAACACCGAGGTCAGGATTTTCAATACAAATGTCAAAACAGTTCTACTGTATGGGGCAGAAACCTGGAGAACTACGAAAGCCATCATCCAGAAGATACAGGTGCTTATTAACAGTTGTCTACGTAAAATACTTCGGATCCGGACACTATTAGTAACAACCTAATGTGGGAGAGAATAAACCAGATCCCAGTGGAGGAAGAAATTAGGAAGAAGCGCTGGAAGCGGATAGGACACACATTGAATAAAGTACCCAAAGGTGTCACAAGACAAGCCCTCACATGGAATCTTCAAGGCCAAAGGAGGAGAGGAAGACCAAAGAACACATTACGCCGGGAAATGGAAATAGACATGAGAAAAATGAACAAGAATTGGATGGAACTAGAAAAGAAGGCCCAGGACAGAGTGGGTTGGAGAATGCTGGTCTGCAGCCTATGCTCCATTAGGAGTAACAGGCGTAACTAACTAAATAACATTAAAATTAACTTTTGCAATCAAGAGAAATATGACGTAATAACAAATAGACCGATAAATATACCAGGTACTATTCTGTTCTGATCGTTTGCTGTTTGATGTAATAAAATGACATTCATTAACCTTAAGGAGATTCAAACCTATGACTTAACCGATTGCAGTTATCCGTTAAAACTACTTAGTTTCCCAGAGCCTAGTTAATTAAAATTGCTTATAGGTTTACTTATTAAGTGTTCACTTGTTGTTATTGATAATTTAATTACATTTTTCATTGTGAGAAGTCAGTGCAAAAGGCTATGAGGTATCTAGAATTAATAATAAAAGATTAATATGACGCTATGTGAATTGAGCTTGATTTTATTAAAAAGTGAATGACCTATAGTTATCATATTCTTTAGTCATTCACATTTGTTCAATAACTTAAAATTACGTTTGATCTGTACATTGGTGTGTCCCTTTTTTAGAAGAAAAAACCTGTTTTATTTAGTAGCTACCCTCCTAACTGATATTAATTTTTTGTGATAGACGATTAGAACAAAGATACATAGTTGAAGCATTTTTAATTATTTTGGCGTAATAAACACAGAAATATATCAGTCAGCTAAAACAAACGACCAGGCACATATATAGATCAGTTCGAGTTACAACACCTCATCAGCACAACAAGATGAACACAAAATCCATAGAAGCAGACACTTCAACGGTACTAATGTGTAAAAGAAAGACTTTATATAAGGATATGATACAGGGAGAAAAATCTGTTCGTAGAAAGAAAGGTAAGGTAACTTTAATCTCACGGTTTAAGAGAAGACAAAGATTGTATACACCTACGCAATTGTGATCGATTCTGAGCCATGTCACCCAGAGTCTCCAACGATTGGTTACGATAGTCGCGCGGATCCCAACCAAGTGGTTTGTATCTACCAACATAGCTAAAACCAGAAGTTAATGACTTTACGGACTGAAGCCACGTTTTTGTTTGACCGCCCCTATATAGCTGAGTAAAGGTTCTATCAACAAGCTTTAGTTACAACCAGTGAACAGTAACAGGAAACAAAATAATGTAAAGGAGATGACAACAGTAATAACATGTATAATAAGATGGTAATTTCTTTCTTTTTTACCTGATAATTTGATTGCAACTGTTTACAAGTTACTTCACGAATATATCGCCAGAATTCAGTATCACGAGATTGTATTTCAGTTGTATTATTGAGTATTGGTTTGATAAAGTTAACCGATTGATTTCCATGATCAATTCCATATGGTGGATTTTCTTCATTTGATGATTGGATATCACGATTCGCTTGTACATAGACCTGTTGCAGTAAAATAAAATGGTAGAAGACCTATTTTTTATAACGGATATTATTTCCTCATTGTTGATGTTAACGATCGTAATTGATCAGTGTCTGTTGGCTATGTGTATCCTCAGAGCATTATTTTAATGTTGCTTTTTTGTCGTCAGTTTTAATCAATTTGGACTATGGCTAGTAGCAGTGAAATTCAAGAAAGGCAATTTATTCCATCTGAAACTTGTCAGCAGAAAATGCCTGCATCCAATGTTGATGTTCAAATTGTGAACTGAACCTAGTACTCATAGTTCTAATTGCTAATGTGTTATTCACATTTAATACAACTTGTGATTAATATTGAGGCTATCTACTCAGCAAACACGTATTCCAGTATAGATTGGTCAATTGAAGTCTTTAACATCAACAAAGGAAAAGTATAAACCTTTATGAATAAGTTCACAGCCGCTAACAAGTTAGAGTGTACTTGAACTCAGTGGTTAACGACTTGATACTCCCTGTTTTCCAGCAGACGTCATTTGGTGTTAGGAGCTTAGTCCTGACCATAGCATTCGCTGATACAGTAAGTGGTCGATTTGCACCTAATCAATTGAAGAATCGGAAAGATGCTATAAGATTCTCATGTGAATCCTATCGTAACTATAACTTTACTATTCAGAGTTACTGAAATATATGTTGTTTTCTTTCAGTTTTTGTTTAGATTTTAGAAGAGTCAAATGAAGTATCGTAGCCACAGATATTAGACGACATTAGCAAAAATACTTCTAACAACCTAACTGGTCGTTCACTTATGTAGTAAACAGTAACAAAAGAGACGGTTCATGTATTGATTCATTTACTCTTATGTCGTTTTAACAGTAATTTGACATCGTCCATCTCACTATTAAAGATTGAAAAACTGGTCTATTTAAAATGACACCGTTATGAGTGAAATATTCTGAATACAGGTTTGTAAGACGACAACAAAACACAGATATTATTAATTGACACATACTTACTTTATATAAGTGTTCAATGGGATTTCTTCGCAATTCAGCCTGATCCCCATATTTTGAAAATCCCGATGCTAAGATATCTAGGGGTTATTTTTTTATTTATAAAAGTTTATATTATTAAATAGAATGACTATCGATGAAATAATGAGTTTAGTTAATGGACAATGTAGCACTAGTTATAATCGGATGATTGATTCATGTAACCCATTTGGTTTTCGTTACTTTAAGAATTCTTGCGATTCAGAACCATAAACACACACTGCCTAACATGTTAAGGGAATGAAACTAGGTAGAATATATGCTTTTGTCCTTCTACTGGCGGTAAGGTAAGGACATATAAGCTAAGATCTTTGTTAAGTTTGATACCAGGTTGATCCGGTAGTATGGATTTATTTTCGTCCTATACCTATCGTTTGGCTTTGTGAGCTTAGGTACATGATAAACCTGAATGTTCCCAACTCATCAATTTTGTAGAGATGAAAGTTAGTGACGAGATCCACTCATCATCTCATTCGGTTACCCAAGATTGTAACCGCGTTATAACTAAGAATGTTCGATTGCATAATATTAGTGTACAGGTTGAGGTATCAGGCTGGGATATTAGCAAACCAATAAGGACTTAATATTTGAAAGCTAGATTACTCGGTTATCGTTTACAGATATGCATATACCACAATGTACTTTAGCGTTCTTCATCTACGGCTTAATTAAGGATTTAAATAGATGGTCTGAACGTATAAAAGTCAGCTGCCTTTTTCTGAATGCTAGTTACTCTACGGTGCATACAAACTCAACTCATGTGGAGGCAAGCGCAAAAGATATCTCGAATGGTGATGAGCTTCAAAACTAAATTATATAGCTCAGATAATACATAACCGACAAAATAACAGATAGCAGCTGGAATTCTTTCCACCTATAGAATTTATAAACAGGCTTGAGACACTTAGAAAGATCAAATAAATTAGAAAAAGTGTTCAGAAAGCATACAAAATAGTTACCGAATTGAGTACCCCAATCACCAATGTAATTTATTCCAATTACTTTATGTCCAAAAGCTTCATTGATGTTTTTAACAAAATTTCCTGTTACAGTAGCTCGGAAATGCCCCAGGTGAAATGGCTTAGCAATATTTGGGGAGCTTATGTTCATAAAGGCAGAACAAAGGGAAAAGAGATTGATGAAAATGTTAGTTCACTTAAAAAAAAGTACCTGTAGTCTACAACAACAGTTTCACAGTGATTCGAACTCCCCTCACTACCCATTAGTACTCCTGTAACAGGATTAGTGAATAAAAGGTTTCTCAAACAATTTTTTGATTCTGTAGATGTGAAGAAACAATTAAAACATAAAAAACTCACTGTCCATTACATTGGTTCTGATTGATTAGGAGTGAAAGTGAACCACAACGTTATTGGCACGAACCGTCACGAGCATGATGGTAAAACATATAACTATGTCGAAAGTCTGAAACCCAGGAAAAAACACTGCTTAGGTGAACAGACACGAATCCTGATGAATCTTATATTTATAAAATTAGTTTTCAACAAATAATGATAGATCATAAGGCCGTTTTTATTTGTAGCCGTAAGATATTTATTGAAGGGAAATTAAATGAAAAAGCTACATGTAACGGTCCACGCTCTTTAAAGCATACTAAACGTAATGCTTAATATTGATTAGGAAAGAAAATTTAAAATCGGGTACATCAGCTGATAACTGCACAGGTGTACAGTATACGTATATGTGTTACGATTTGGTCACTGCTCACACTGATGTGGTGTTGGATAAACCAGGAATGATGTGACGGTAAAAACACAATGCCGATACAAATAAGTATCACTTTAACTTGCCTTATTCTAAATTAGGACACCGAGTAGATACAAAAATCAAATTAAATTCTCGCTAATAAAATCAGGATTTGTAAGAAACTAAATTAAAATAAAACTATTTAACATCGACAGAATGTTAATATACATATTAACAAACACATTTATAATTTTCTTAGTTACCATTTCTACAGCAAAGTGAGTCGTCAAGCGTCTATCGATGTACAAAATTCGAGGTTATACAGAAAGAACCTCGTTTTTTGGCTGGTACATCCAAGAAAAGAAGTAAATTACTCGAGGTGTAACGCACACGTTGAACAATTGGCAGAGTATTGGTAACGGTGTACAAAATCCAATATTTAATCAACCTTCTATCTTAGTGACATCGTGTGTACAGCGATTGACTTCTTTGCTCTGGCTTCTCGTTATTTTGTTACAAATTCAGGTTCTAGTGATGGCAAATGGACAGTGAGTGCGTTTTTTCAGGGAGACAGCGTTCCAAGGCGATAGTGGTTATTCAATTACTAGGCAGTAGGTCGACCAAATACAGTGCGAAAAGTAATCAATTTGTAATTGGTCTTCAAATAAATGCTTAGTTCAAACAATAAACAAATAAGTTTGTTGGTTGATCAGTAACTACGACTGTGCGTAGATCAGATCGAAATAATAAGGGGCGAACCCGAGGTGGTTATGATCGAGATAGAGGAGAGTTAATGATATGTTTTAGTGACAACCGTTGTATAACATGTGACATATATTTGATAGTTGTTCCAAGAGGAAGATGTTAACCCATGAGTGAGCACATATTGATCAAGTAAGATGGTAGTTGAATGTAGTCAGCAGGAAACCCTGGACACAGGTTTCGTGCTACTTGGCACTCGTCAGCATGACGCACCTGTAATTTCGATGGAACTGATGCCCCTGACGGATTTGATCCCGTAGTCAGAAACGTTGCCACCGATCTATTCGAGCCGTGACCGACTTCCTGTAGTATTGAGATATAATCACAGTCGACTGATCACTGGATGGTGATCAATGTCATGTGTGTCAAGTCCTTCTTAGTGCAGAGCGAATGCTATCAGGTCTCCGCATTAAGTTTTCAACTGCAGGGGCTGTGGTCTTTTCGGCTTGGTGACTATTCCAAATAAAGGCAACTCCCAGTGACAAAAAGTGGCGTCATACTTTGGTTTTTCCTCTTGGAGGTTCAGCTTTTGGACAATCCTCGTGAGGAGCGCTGCGGTGATGTTCTGTAGATTTGCTCGCATTTGGACGGCTTGAATCACTCAATATGTTGCAAACTGTAATCAGACCATCTCTTCTTCTCATATTGTCCAGAGAGGACAATCCAAAGTGTTGGAATTTGTCCTCGTAAGATTTACGAATTAGCTATGTCATACACTTGCTAGCTCGTCTCTGTAATTGATTTGAGAGATTCATAACTCTGTTGAAAAGGAGAGACACATTGAAATTTCGAACTCCAACGTGGAGCCATGCGTACGTTTCGAAGAGTTAGGAACAACACTGGAAATATGTCGTGAATCCTCGTATATAACTACTGACTTAACTCACATTAGTTATAAACAGAATTAAATAAGTCAGATATGAGAATGGTTTTCGAATACTTGTATATCATACAATCGTTAATCCAAATAAGTGATCAGAGAAACGAAGCGAAGATAGGTGAGTGAAGTGAAATGAGGCACGGCAGAGAAGGTTTTTTAGACAACTCATTTAACCAAAGTGTGGATCGATATTTATAGCCAGCAAAAATGAGTTACAGACATGTGATGAGTAGGATAGGAAATTTACACAGATACGCTCACATACAGACAGTCAAGGCCAATAAGTGAATAAATAACAAGGTCGAAATGTAGTTTCAGAAGAATGAATAGATTGGTCTGTCCAGGAAAACTACTTCCTCACCAAGTATGCAATAATATGGAACATTCTTCCCTCCGAAACTCGCATGGCAGATGAATTACATACGTTTGTAAAACTGCTTGATCAGGCCCTCACTTGCAGTGATCTTGCACGTAGAAACACATCGGCGCCCCACTCAGACATCATAGGCTCTCTCCATGTCTAGACCAAAAAGGACTTCAAGTTCAGTTTGCCTTATTTTTCCTACTTTGCAGTTGTATTAATTACTTTTTCCACCCTATTTCTTCACTTGAAGTAGACAGGTAACTCACTGGACCTATCATTATTGTTAAACTAAACTCGGTCGATAAGGGACACTCACTACTCCAACTTGTTAAACATCACAACTCATTGTTCTTTATTAGTACATTCTCTAATATGGAGCCTCCGACTTCATTTCACTAACAAGACATAATATGAATTTATTCTAATTTATTATATCTCTGTCCGTCCTACTACACTATGTTAAGCAACGTTTGGCGTTCATATCCAAGTGCCTTGCTGCTCTTCTGTTTCTCTTTTTTTTCTTCAGAATCTTGCTCTGAGAGCACAGCTGTGAAACTTCTGACGTTTGGAACAAACTTGGTGTACGCGTCCTCTCAAGGTCATAGTTTACAGCAAGCACTCTACGATTTCACTTTATAACAACTATAAACTTAATAAGTTGGGAAACATTTTGTGAACCAACAAATGTTGTAATTTATAGATCATGCCTGTAAAAACGGTGTGTACCTACAAATGCAGAAATATATTATTATTATTATTATTATTATTATTATTATTATTATTATTATTATTATTATTGGTCATGTTATGTGTGTTCACAAACCGAAATGGAATTTCTAAGTCTACGTTTTTGAACGACAATTTTACAGGCAAAATGGTAACTGTACAAATCGTAAGAATTGATGAGAAATGCAAATAGCAACAAAATTAATTATAAGAACGTCTACTTTAACTTTTCCCCACACATTTGTTTAGGTTACATCTTCAATGTAGTTTCAGTTGTTGTCCAAGCTCACTATATTTACTAGCTTGAGGTCGTTTTCTGCGGAGAGTTCAGGAGTGGATTTCCATGAAGGATCTACGTCAAACGAGACAGAATTTTCAGAACATGTCATTTCGTCAGGTAAATTTAAACACACTGTCAACTACTCTTGTCTGTACTTTCTGAATCTCAGGTGGATCTGCTTTATTTCAAATGAGACACTAGATCCTCCAGTCGTTGGTATAGGTTATTGCCGCTTAGCCAGTTTTATTCAACACATTAATGATAAAGATTGGGAACAGAAGTTTACCAAACAACTGTTCCTTTTGAAACTACCGATGCTGAGACCATCAGACACGCATGTACTCTATTGTCCTTGGTACGAAGAATCCTGTTGAACAGGTGGTTTTGGAGTCAAGATAGAAATGAATCAGTGAAACCCACCTTTGCAACCCTACTGTTTGGAAGGCTTATGAGAAGTCTAGAGTTATCACATGAACCGGTATATATCGGCCACAGAAAGTCATCATTTTCTAAAACATCAGATATGACTATGATTTTGTTATCACATCCCATTGGTTCACGAACATGGACATCTTCGACTGGAAGCTGATGATTTGATAGTAAGTAGTCGGTTTTCCATCATACCGTATCTCATGGCATCAACTACATGTTCAGTCAATCCTGAACTTGTCGTGGCTGTGAGAAGTCACTCATTAAAACCTTCCACAGAGGTTTTATCCTGCTTGATTCGATTTGGGAGGTGAGTATGGATGTGTCCATCCAGTATTATGTGGTCAAATTCAAGGTGTGGTAATTGTAAAGTCGGCTGAGTCATCTTATTTATTTAGTTGTTGGACTCGGCTCAAATTCTATCGAGGCAAAATGTTATTCACTGTGTTAATAGATGGGATATCATAATTTTGTTACGAGATGTATTATTTACTACGGTCAGTAGTTTCACACTTTACTCGACAAAGTTCTTTAAGATCTAGGAAATACAGGTAAAAATAAAATGATAGAATTTATCAAACGAATATCCTGAAGCACCAGACAAAGAGATGACGAATAAAACTATTAGAACCTATAAGAAGCTTCAGATTTTTATTTTAAAATCTGCGTATAGTGTATGGATTATGTTGTAGCGTGGAGTCAATTCGAGATTGACTATGAACACCACTACAAAGGAAAGCGTGCTAGGATATCCATAAAATCCCCCCGAAGCGAAATATCAGAAGGCAGTTAATGGACCAAGTCGAGATATATTTGCTGGCGATCTCGTGGTATCGAAAGAATGCCGAGTTCTTGCCAGGATACAAGCTTGGTTACACAGCGTAACCGAATTTGCGCGAGATCGCAATCAAAGTAAGTATAATGGAATCTTTAGCACAGTTAAACAAAGAGCACATTGAAACAGTCACTGGTTCAATTGTTTATAATAATGATAATTGTTGTCATCAAACCAATCGCGTTCTCGTGATAAAAGTAAGTCACTACAATGTAAACACAAATAACTGGTTAGTATATAGTAAATAACAGTTTGTTAAACGTAGTAGTCTACCTCTTAACACACCACTAGCACCATATATTATTTGAGGAAAGTACAAGTCACAGAAAAGTGTAAAAGTGTCTTCTTATGCACCGCTTCCATGTATATGAGTCAACTGGATATACAGTTATTTGCTGTACACAGGAAAGTAAATGAGTTTTCTAGTTGAGTTGTTACGAATACTAGTGCACCCAGACCAATCATTAGTTTCATCTGAATCTTGGACAATCTGAAACGTCATTCTCAACTTATAAGGTGAAATTGACTCGAAGACCATGATCGTTAGCATGATGCTTAAACAAGAGAGATCTGATGACTGATGTCTTTCTCATTGCAATATCCTCATCAAAATTGCTTCCAAATGCATTAATGCGATAATCGAGTCACACAATCTATGGTGTTTAAATTTGTAAGAACAACCTATACAACAAGTTTACAAACATGATTGTTCTAGGATTGAGTAACTACGTTGTTTAATACGGAAATTTCAATTGGACATAATTGTATACTCATTGTATATACAAATCGAATAGACCTCATCGTTCCATAAATTAAAAAATAATATTTGTACAAGATCTAGCCAAAAGTGACTGTGAATTTGGGAGTCTATAATTAAAAGACTGGGTATTACTCAAAAACGGTTAATCGTATAATAATAGTCTATGGGTCAAAATAAAGCTTGTAATAAGAGGAACATGAATATGAATAGCTTAGTTACTTAACAATTATACAATAAATGTATATGTATCGTATTGGTTCACAAATAATTCTCAAAAGTTATCATTCATAATTCTCGTCGGGATATAACCCTTTTATCTTATCTTCTTCTCTTTTTGTCAATGATTTCAAATGAAGACTAATTTATAGACTGTTCAAAT